AACTGATATAAGGTTTGCGGGCCATATTCTCTGCAGCAACCTTTGCAAGCAGTATATAATTCAAAGGATTAGAAGAAACACCATCCCAAGAAAAGTAAATATACACTTCAAAGACGCTCATATAGATCTCTGCAAACTAAAGACAGTTACTAAAGCATATGGAAAAATAAATGAGGTATTGTGATTACCTGCTTGCAGAAAGAATCTATCTCGTCATTAAGAAGACCGTGGATCAGTGATAAAGATTCTTGCATTGGACAGTTCAATAACTCGGGTGGTTGCAGAGGGAAGGCCACATCAGGCTGTAAAATAGCATTATAGACAAACGCAACTTAGACAGAGTTTAGCTATACATAGACGTCAAAGATGTTGCTTACATGCTCTTGGTCTCGGCCTAGTTGTGACATTGCAATTAAGTGATCTTGCAGGAGGGCCCCCGGTAAAGGTTGAATGATCGGCCTGACTGCAAGGCTTTTGTTTCTCCAAGGCAAAACAACTTCTGCTCCACAAGGTTCTTCCCAGTTTACACCGTCATGAAACCAGCCTCTCATACCCCAATGTCTTGGGCTTGAACTTCCAGACCTCACAGTTGGAAAACCTCGCCGTGCTCTGGAGTTGCTCACAGGAGAAGGAGGTGGCGGTCGAGGAGCACGTGGAACACATAGTACCACAGGTGATGGTGGCCGCTTTATACGAGGATGCTCGCGCCTTGTAGGTGGAACATTTGGGCTTTTAGTATCATAACTACGCTTGTAATCAGATTTTGACATATTTGGGATGATTATAGGGCGCAAAATCGGATAAGGAAGTGAGTCTCCTGAATTTCCTTCAACATCCCCTGATAAACTAGCCAAAGTTCCGGAGACTTCCTCTTCACCTGCAACTTCACTTGTTGTTGGCGGAGCTTGCAGTATTTTGGTAGATATTTCATTACCTGGCACAACATAACCGAGAGGCTGATTTGCCGGGCCTAAGGGGTGAAAAGGGGAACAGAACGAGGCTGCAGTTGGAGAATCTAGTCCATTTGCGCTGTAAGAAGACGAAAATGCAACCATGTCATCAACAGACCTCTTCATTTCAGCTTCATGCCAAGCCCAAGAGCTATCATCAGAACTAAGGGACGGAGGGCGAGAAAAGCCAGTCCCGAGATGATCGGAAGGATTCCAATACATCACTCCACCACCGAAATATTGATTATAGTCTACTCCAGAAACAGTGTGCACCTCAAAATCTTCCTCTAACATCCAGTTATTCTCGCATTCATTCCCCAGCTCGGGCTTATTTTTCTGTTCAGGAATGTCCACCAGAATTCCAGAATCATAATTGCAAGCGAATGCTGTTGTCAAGCCGCAATTGCTATGAACCATGGGAGGCCAATCTAGACTCATGGGCATGGGTCGAGAAAGAACTTGTTTGTGGGAACCTTCAATGGAAGGATTTCTAGCATGTTGCACAGTGGACACAAAAGGTTGGCGTATGTATGCATGCAAATTGTGACCAACATCAAGATGCAGTCTATCAGTTGCAGTTGGAAGGTGAGAATTAACATGTGAAAAGTACATAGGAGCTACAGCAGGCCACTCATAAGAAACAAATTCTGAACTGCTGGAGGCAATACCGTAACCTGCTTCTCTTCTCTGATGGTGAATCCGATGGGATTCCCCTTCCTCCAAAGTTCTGGATCGTCCATTAGGCATTGTCAACTTTTCTTTACGATCACCTGGACAGCAAGATTTTTGAGAGTTCATATTCTCACAGCTTGGACCACCGGCAGGATCCGCAGAACTCAAATTGGATGAAATCACATGCGTTTCAGCTTTGTCGTGCAATTCTCCCTCTCCAGAATACTCACAATTAGCTGCACCATTCACAGATGCACAAGTACCTGATCTACTCCTTTCACAGCTAAATGAATCATGCTCTCCAATAATCTGAGCATTGATATTTTCCTGAGGAAGCTGATTGGCAGAGGTACAACTAGAATCACATTTGGGAGCTTCTACGATGGCTGAACTATTCACTACGGACTTATTCACTTCCCCGGTGTTTTCCAAACTTGTACACTTCTTACTCTTATTCTTTTCTTTCCTTTTCTTTTTAGTTCTTCCTTTCCTGGCAACCAACCCTGGGACAACTTCCTGATAAATATTATCAGTTTCAAAACAACCTGAGTTCAATTCAGCCAAAATATGAGGAAAGAAAATAATTCACCATAGTTGCTGCAGAGGCTGCAGGACTACTGATCTTCGTTGAAGCTGCAGGAACTTTCTTGCATTCTATCGCTTCTCTGTTTTTGTTAAATTCCAATTTGGCTTGATCTTTCTGGAGATAACTTCAAAGATCAAATTCAAGTTGCCATACAGAAAATAAATAATCTGTGGACGGATAGAAACTATGTACCTTTCCGCTTTTTGTGGACAAATTAACATTTTTATCAGATGTAGCCTCCGGAGTTGGCTTTTTCAAGGTCATGGTCTTTCCTTTGTGTTTACGGCTGGTCAAACCAAGCTTCTGATTGGATGATGAACTTGGAGAACACTTGTGAGTGTTGTCATCAAGAAGTTCAACTTTAATGGAATCAATAGAGATTACCATAAGAAAACCCCGCAGTTTTCTTAAGATGCAATCAACTAAGGTTGTGATAGTACCCAATGAGCTGAAAAATACGCTTTGTACTGGAACTAAGCCATTTTGGCATAAGATGAGCAGCGAAGCAAATTCTTGAAGAACGTATAAGCCACTTAAATTACTGGCGACGGTAATAGGTTTCCTTGATACAGAGTTTGGTTCCAAAATCATGTCACAGAATGAAACAGCAGAAGTTTCTGTACGCCTTTTCCTTGCACTTGCAAAATTGAAGAGCCACATATCTCCCTGCTGTGCTTGATTTGCTTCTCTAAGAATCTCATATATCTGGATTTGAGTGACAGCAGAAATTTAGATAAAATCAAACGGCATATACACACACTTGGATAACATGAAATGGAACAGTGGCAGAGCTCACAGGATGACAGAGACTTCCAGAATGCAAGTTCACAGTAAAACAAAAGCAACCTTAATCTAGAAGGAATTTTAATATTTGTATAGACAATCTAGATAAGGGGAAGACAAGCGTCCAAGATTTTCAAATAAGAAGCCATAGTCCAAGATAAAAGAGATAGATCTTTATACTAGTGAATCATTTTGTTGGCTCGAAATGCTACCCCTTGATAGCATATAGCCATAATTTGCCTACATCCTTTGGTATAGTCATTTATATGAAGTTCCATGTAATACTACGACATCTGCACCTTTAAGATTTGACATGGAAAACACATACCACAGACTTAGCCGACTTCCCCAACAAACAAGTCCAGATTTTCCTGTGTGTTGCGGCATCCAAATTGTCCCACCAATCAACACAGGCCTTCTTCCTCCAATACGAATTGGCAGCCGCAGCAGCAGCATTCAATTTCTCTTTCAATTTGATTCCTCTTTTCTTGCCACTATTGGTGTTCAGCCAAGCTAATCTCAAGCTTACCTCTAACCTGTTAGCTATGAAGGCTTCCATGCTATAATAGCCTTTGGCTTTGAGCCACTCCAGTTCTACCCAATTGGAACCCAAATCACTCTCTTCTCCTCTCAAAAATGCTCCATTCGATAAAGCATCCATAGTCTCCACGAAGCGATCCACATTCGTAAGAAGATCATCGGCCATGACGACGGAATCGAGGGAATTGACGGAGCAAGAGCAATCTTGAGCACTTTCCCCTTCTCTAGAACCAAAGAGCCGAGTGGAGTCGAAAACGAAACGCTCTGGCTCGTTGGACTCGGCAACCCTGGAGATTAAGCCACGAGATTTTTTAAAGCAGAGACTGGGGAGATCGGAGGAAGGGAGGTCTGGGAGGATGATGAAAGAGCCAGGGCCTTTAGTGCGGATATAACCAAGCATCTGAAGGAGGATTTGGACAAACTTGGGATCAACGAAGGTGAGGTGGGAGAGGCGCTGGTGGACGCTGAGAGAAGAGAACCATCGGAGGATCGCCGACCTAGGATTGGGGCTAGTATTAGCCATGGAAGAGGAAAAAGAATGGGAGTGGTACAGAGATATGTGAGATGTGAGGGAATCGATAAGTTGATTCTGAGCCATGGGTGAGCCAGAGAAGGAGAATTTGGATGGGAGATGGCGATTTTCCATGGTTTTTTTTTTTTTTTTTTTTAAAGTCTCCAAAGGAAGAAGACGAACGACGAACGGCTCATAACTTAAACCAAATCAATCCCCAACCGGTAATTGGAACCGGTCTTACTTGCTAACCATCCAATAAGAGCTATTTTAAAACGGGCCTGGGCTTGAGCCCATTGTAAATCCTCGACGCTCTTCTTAGACAATGGAACAAGCCCATTGGCATCAGTTTCTTTCCGTATGATTATAAAATTGCAGTAGTGGAGAATCGAGAAGAACACGCATCGAGTTTAAACGTGTGGTCGGAGAGAATAAAAGTGTGTGCAGATTTGCTTAAAGGGAAGGTGCTATAAAAAAGGATCTTGTTGGCCACGAGCTTCTTCCTTTTCTTCTTCTCCGCCGCACCCTTTGGGTCAACAGTTAAACCCTCTCCATTACGCGTGTGAATATAACCATATAATATTCACATTATATAGATTATGTTTCATAACGTAGATCCTGCCTGTTCTATATACTAAAGAATTAAATGGTTTTGATTAGAGACGTTGTCCTTTCATTAATCTGGTCAACTGCCTAGCTAGAACAAATATATTTAATCACGTTCAAATTAAATTGATCTTATACGAATACACTTATAATTAATTTAATTACAATATATAGTACTTGCTTACCGGCCTTCTTATAACCTTCCTTCAAACTCTAGCTAGCTCATCGATTGAATTGACAAACAAAAACAAATCCAAGTCAAGCTAGTGATCTTAAATCCAGCTCATTCATATCTATTCACGTGCCATGCAAAACGATGCATATATATAAGGGACACACACAAAGACATGTAAGTATTATACCATCGACCGATATAATTTAAGCTACATATTCTCTCAATTAATTCCCTAATCGCCATGGCGGCTAACAACAAGCTGATCCTCGTATTACTCTCCCTGCTCCCTATCATCATCTTCTCGGCAACAGCCACGTCATCAAAAGACTACGACACGAAGGCTTACGTGCATTCATGGTGCCGGACAACCTTATACCCGAAACTGTGCGTCCGGTCGATGTCTCGTTACGTGCGTTCACGGGCGGTGCAAAATCCACGGGATCTGGCCCGATTCGCGCTCAAAGCCAGCCTATACAGAGCCAAGTACACAAAGGCGTTCTTGTTAAAAGAGGTAAAGAACCTGGAGACGACGCTGAGGCCCCAATACTACGCGTTGGTTCACGACTGCTTGAACCAAATAAGAGACAGCGTGAACCAGCTGAGCCTAGCCATAGCGGAGCTAGACAGAGTCAGCAGGAGGCAGGGAAAGAGCCAAGGGGATCTACACTGGCATATAAACAACCTGCAGACGTGGACAAGCACAGCTCTCACAGACGCCGAGACTTGCGTGAGTCAGTTCCCGGGACGGAGGATGAGCAAACTTAAGGCTACGATTAAAGGGAAAGTGAAGAATGTGGAGGAAACAACTAGTAATGCCCTTGCCTTCATCGAGCACTACGCTGCTGCTAGGTACCGAGCCAGACGTCCTTGAGTTGAGCCTTGTGTGTGTTTTGATCATCTTGTCTTATTTTTTCTCTTTTGTTACTTCTTGATATATGTGTGTGTAATTGTTAACCAGTCGTGTAAATCCAAAAGTTCATATATGACAGTAAATTGATATAATTCAATAACAAGCAACAAAACAGCTTTGCGGTATGCTATGATATTAACATTATTATTGAGATAACAAAGTATAGCCCGTCTAGCTCAGTTGGTAGAGCGCAAGGCTCTTAACCTTGTGGTCGTGGGTTCGAGCCCCACGGTGGGCGATTTTTTTTTCCCTATTTTAGTAAAGAGCTGAATTTTAAATGGGCTTTGAAATTAATGGGTCAGTAAGGTTAAGGCCCATATATTTTAATAAACTTGTACTTCCAAACCCGACCCGGTTACTTGTATGCGGAGATCACTCTCCATAAGCTAAGCTCTAGAAACACCGCCATTAACGGCTCGCTGCACCATTTTTCATCGTTGATCAGTCGTCGATCCTCTTGAGCGATTTGATTTTAGTTGTCAAATTCGAAAAATGGAATCGGTCCTTGTAGTGGCCGTTGCATCGGTGATTCTCGGTTCGTTGATCGCCGTGCTCTTCTTCGGTAGCTACTTCCGGAAGCGGACATCGGAGGTGCAATCAATGGCCAAAGCGGAGCCTCAGGATCCGATCCGGAATCCCAAATCGAATCATCCTGCTCCCAAGAAGAATCATCCCAAATCTCAAGCGTCCGACAAGGTAAGTGTTAACTCCATTTTGTTCCGAGTTTAGGGATTTGGATGAGTTGACTTTAAACCTTGTATTCTTCGTTTAATATTGCTTGTGGAATGCAGAACCAGAACAAACGGCACCATCCGTTAGACTTAAACACGTTGAAAGGCCACGGTGATGCTGTTACTGGACTCTGTTTCTCATCCGATGGAAGGAGCTTGGCCACAGGTTAGCTAATCCCTGTGAAGAAGAAAGATCCTTGTTAAAAAAATTGTTGATTTAGTTGGCCAATTTTTGCTATTTTACAATTCTGATCACATTTGTTCCTGTTTCTGTGGATAGCTTGCGCTGATGGAGTGATCAGGGTGTTCAAGCTAGATGATGCCTCAAGCAAAAGCTTCAAGTATTCCTTCCTATATATGATTTTTCACTAGACAATGTTAGCCGGTGGGAGTTTACTTTCCAAGCCCATTCTCATGATCTAACTCCTTTTTTGCTTTCTAATCTCCAGATTCTTAAGGATAAATCTTCCTGCTGGAGGGCATCCAACCGCTGTGGCATTTGCTGACGATGCCTCATCTATTGTTGTGGCTTGTTATCATCTGTCTGGTTCATCTTTGTACATGTACGGTGAAGAAAAGCAAAAGGATCAGCAAGGGAAGCTTCCTCTTCCTAGTATCAAATGGGACCACCATCATATTCATGAGAAGAGAGCAGTCCTTACCATCTCTGGAGCTACTGCAACTTACGGTACTGCTGATGGAAGTGCTGTCATTGCCTCTTGTTCTGAAGGTATGATTTTTCCATGTCTATCATACAAATGATTTTTCTAATTTTAGCAGCATGTTGCCAAACTGTCTTTGACTGGAATGGCAGAGATACTATTCTACTTTGCATCAAACTCGTAGCGATACTAAATTGGCCTCAGATTCTCTAGTTTAAAATTTGAGGTTATAAATTGCTGAAGGGTGATTACAATTTGCGTAGACCGTTATCCCCAGTCAAATGCTCAATATAAATTCCTGTCTCTGTGCAAATGTACTACTCTGGTAAAATTTCCCTTGTCTATTCCTTAAACCTTACTATTCGCCAGGGACTGATATCATACTTTGGCATGGGAAAACTGGGAGGAATCTGGGACATGTTGATACAAACCAGTTGAAGAACCACATGGCAGCTGTATCCCCTAATGGCCGTTTCTTGGCTGCTGCAGCATTTACTGCAGATGTGAAGGTGAGTTTTTGTTTAAAGTCAAACCATCACGAGTGTATGTGTGACTGTATCTCATGTCTTAGTAAGTGTTTTGTAGGTGTGGGAAATTGTGTATCAGAAAGATGGTTCTGTGAAGGAGGTTTCAAGAGTAATGCAACTTAAAGGCCACAAGGTATTATTCACTACCTAAAGCATGATAGTGCTTCAATCCATCTCCACGATATAGACTTTTTCTCACTTTTTGCAATCGTTTCATGTTAAAACCAATGCTATGGTATCCAGAGTGCAGTGACTTGGTTATGCTTTTCTCCAAACTCAGAGAAAATCATCACCGCTTCAAAAGATGGTTCAATAAGAGTCTGGAACATCAATGGTTAGTAGAATTGTTTTTAAATGTCTGCATCATTCTGATTGTTGCCAAATGCAAAACAGATCCCCGGTAACATAAGGGGATCTGTTCTGGAATTTATGATAGATGGAAGGATTTTGATTTATCAAACAAATAACCTGAAAGGCGTTGTGTAATTTGGTTGCAGTCCGCTATCATCTTGATGAGGATCCAAAGACTTTGAAGGTGTTCCCGATTCCACTTTGCGACTCAGGAGGCAATCCGTTGCACTATGATCGTCTCAGCTTATGCCCAGAGGGAAAGATATTGGCAGCAAGCCATGGTTCCACATTGCAGTGGTTATGTGCTGAAACTGGAAATGTCTTGGACACAGTTGAGAAAGCCCACGAAGGTGATAGATAATCTCTCAAAATTTCTGTTTGCAGCCTATTCAAAACCATACCACATACCTCAAAACTATTCAAAGCAAGTGATAGGAAATGTAACAATGTTGGTTGTATGTGTAGGGGATATCACATGCATTTCTTGGGCACCCAAGGCTATCACAGTTGGTATGTGTCTGTCTGTTTTTTTCTTGGATGTAAACTTGTTTGTGATCTGAATCTCTTGTGGTATGTTGGTTCTCAGGGGAGAGACATGCCATGGTTTTAGCGACATCAGGCGATGACAAGAAAGTGAAGCTGTGGGAAGCTCCAAAGTTGCAATCTTTGTAGACTCGCATACACGTAGTCGCTTGCTCACATGAGGAATATTTAAACGGCACAAACTTTCGAGAGAAAAAAACTCTAATAGGTTTTGTTTCGAGACCCGAGTTGGGATCAAATGAGGGGTGGTTTAAGTTCCTTCTTGTCACCTTAAGTGTCTTATAACTTTTGAATTTTTGAATTTTGCTTATAAAGGTTGTACAATACTCACTCTTCTTCGTTTTCCAAATTTAAAAAGCACACAACAACAGTATAAGATATATGAATGGATTACATTTTTTTTTCTTCTTATCAGGATAATGATAGTACATAAATATGTATGGTAAATATCACCAAAAAAAATCTACAACCAAGTGAAAAATATTTCTGGACGTGGACTCTGATAGTCTGATGGGCTTTTTGAGGCAAATTAAAGAATGGGCCAGAAATATGAAAGGCCCACGTAAATCCCGAATATAACCTAAAAAGCACACTCTATAATAGCAGCCAGAAATTAGGGTTTCAATTTGTCATCTCCAGCAGTCAGTGAGCATCCATAGGAGAAAGTGTGAGAATCTGCAACCATGGGTCGTATGCACAGTAAAGGGTTTGTTCTTCTTCTTCTTCGCATCATAGTTACGTCAATTGTGCAATCTAACATGTCCGTATCATTTTTGTAGAAAGGGTATTTCAGCTTCTGCGTTGCCTTACAAGAGATCGTCTCCGAGCTGGCTCAAGACCACCTCTCAGGATGTAAGTTGATATCATCTCTGCTTTTACTCTGTTTGGTTGAATGAATCATGATGCCTTAAATTATTACATTTGACAGGTTGATGAATCAATCTGCAAATTTGCCAAAAAGGGTTTGACCCCTTCCCAGATTGGTGTGATTCTCCGTGACTCTCACGGTATCCCTCAGGTCAAGAGTGTTACAGGAAGCAAGATCCTGAGGATACTCAAAGCCCATGGTGTGTTTTCAATTTCCCAATCTTACTCTCTGCTTTTGTCATTTTAGCTTATGATGCTAATGTGATAATTTTACTTGCAAGGCCTTGCTCCTGAGATCCCTGAGGATCTGTACCATCTTATTAAGAAGGCTGTTGCCATCCGTAAACATCTCGAGAGGAACAGGAAGGACAAGGATTCCAAGTTCAGGCTCATCTTGGTTGAGAGCAGGATTCACCGCCTCGCTCGCTATTACAAGAAGACCAAGAAGCTCCCTCCCGTCTGGAAGTAGTGAGTGCCTCTTTCATTCTCTCTTAATGACATCTTGCTTTCAATATCTCATAAGTAGTTTTGTCGAAGTGGGTTTGTTCTTTATATAGGTAGTTTTGTCTAAGGGGGTTTGGTCTCTATATAGGTAGTTCTGTTTAGAATGGCTTATGAACTATCATTCTTGGCCACCCTTTTGCATGAATGAACCCACCTGTTCTCTATGCATTTCACTGACTTAACACTCTCCATCTGCAGCGAATCCACTACCGCTAGCACCCTTGTGGCTTAAGCTGGAGTTGGTTCACCTTTTGGGAGGAGGAAGATTCTACTAGTCTGTTGCTTCCTTTTTGTTTTGATAAAATCTGAACTTTAGTCTTCATGTGTCACCAGGATTTGATGTGTTTGCCTTTTTCTTTGGAATCTTTAAACTCCCTTCTTTAAGAGAATCGTATGATCATGAATTTAATTTTACTTTTGCATCCTATACTCCTTTCTTATACACATGATCATGAAATCACCAATGGAACCATTAACAACCCTTTTAAGCATTAGTATTACCAATATAGTGGATTGAACTGAGAAACAAGAGAACAAAATAGTGATGAGAGTGACAAAGAATGTAATCCCGAATTAATGGTTCTTATGGAGTATAAATGGTTTGAGTAAAAACATATACGGAAAAGACAGGGTATGAGCCGGCCAAAGAACCAACAAAAAGAGCAAGTGTTAAAGAGTGAAACAATCACAAGAATCTCAGAATCAAAAAAGAGGCTACAAACTCAAGGCAGATGGTCATTCATCAACTTGCAGCTTTCTTTCCGCCATTGTAGTAACCCAAATACCATCTCGCAAACTTCTTGAGACCCGTCTGAAGATCGGTGGTGGGTTTGTACCCGAGCTCTCTCTGCGCGGAACTGATATTAGCATGAGTGAACTGCACATCCCCGTTCCTCGGCAACTTCATAATGTTCCTCTTGGCCTTCACTTTCAGAAGTCTCTCGAGAATGGTGACAAGATCAGTCACTGGAACGGGCGAAGTGTTGCCGAGATTGAAAACCCGTAACTGAGCCGCACCGCGCTTCTTACCACCACTACCTGTGCTCTTCTCAGCGGTGTCCAAAGCCCCCAAACAGCCCTTGACAATGTCATCAATGTAAGTGAAGTCCCTAGCCACGGTTCCATGGTTGACCCCCTCAAAGATTGAAATGGCTTTCCCTTTGAGAATGTCTCTGGTGAAGAAGAAATAAGCCATGTCAGGCCTTCCCCAGGGACCATAGACGGTGAAAAACCTCAAGCCAGTAAGAGAAAGTCCATAGATGTGATTGTAAGTGTGAGCAATCTCTTCACCAGCTTTCTTAGTAGCAGCATAGAGACTAGCTGGTTGATCAGTTCTGTCTTTCTCGGAGAAGGGGACTTTAGTGTTCAATCCATAGACAGAGCTAGAGGAAGCCCAGACAATGGCGGGTTGGGGATTAGCAGATTTGCAAACCTCAAGGAGATTGACGAAGCCAGCAATGTTACTGTGAACATAGGAGCTTGGATTTTCCATGGCGTACCTGACACCAGCTTGAGCAGCCAAATGCATAACGTGGGTAAAGGGGACAACTTCAAAGAGCTTCTTCAAGAGAGCAGCGTCATTGATGTCTCCTTCAACCACAAACACTCCGCTTCTCTCCAAAAGGGCTTGCCTTGCTCTCTTTAGCGATGGATCGTAGTAATCGTTGAAGTTGTCTAGTCCCAGAACGCCATCTCCACGCCGTTTAAGAGCGGCGGAGACATGGGTACCGACGAAACCGGCGGCTCCGGTGACGAGAACGGAGAAACCGCGGCGGGTACGGACACGGGCGGAGGATCTGACCCGTTTCTCCCAAGCGGGTCCTCCCCAAGAGTAGGTACGAAGAGAACGGCGAGAAGGATCGGGATTGGAGGAAACAGGAGATCGGTAGAAGAAGATGAAGATCAAACCAACGAAGACGAGAGACCAAAAGGCGAGCTTGGCGACGGAGGATTGCCACCGGGTACGGTGGAAGTAGGGCTTGAACTTGCCAGGCGTGGAAGGAATATCATCAAGATGCGACATTTGCTTCATTTTTCAGAAGAATATTTACCTCTAAAGATCGGGCGATAATGGCGTCCCCAGAGAATCTTCTTCTTCTTCTTCTTCTTCTTCTTTGAGGTTTCTTTTTTTTCTTGGATTGGTTTGTTTGGTGAGAGAGTTTATAGGCTCTCCGATTTGAAAGGGAAGATCATGAATTTCAAGATTTTGTTTTTGAGTCTCTCTCTCTCTCTATTTTTGGGGCTTTTTAAATTTATTTCTTTTTCTATTTTCTCTCTCGAAAATGTACAAAAACTATGAGATTTACACACAGAGAAGAAGATGGTCAAAGAGGTAGAGATAATGAGGATTTAAGGGAGAGTCAAAGCTACTCCTCTAATTAATCACTCTAGTCTTATTATCCCTTACCATTAACTTTCTAGAGGTTTAGTTTCTAGAGGCATCATTCACACTTGATTAATTAGTTATTATCTTCTTCATTTAGGTAGAATTAACTTTATAATTAATGAAGTGAAGCTTTGATCATTCTTGAATATGGATCTTTTTTGGCCGACCCTTTGCTATCTTAGTTTAGGGTTCTTAATGAATTATGGCAACAAATGTATACTAATAGCTTTCTGATTATAATCGACTTATCAATCAAATACTGATTCATCAAATTCGATGCACTAACATCTATAGCTCCTTGTAAAGTACTACTAGTATTACAAAATTACGCACACAAATACATGTTTAGGTGCTGCCCAAGATCGTCACGTGCAACTCTTACTCGTTACATGTTTAGGGAATTATTAAATCAAACTTGCAACTTAATACCGAGGCACATTTATCCATGGGGTACAAAAAAGCAAAGAGTAATCTTCAAGGAATATTACTATAACAACACGCATCCACTAGGCTGCATATAATAGAATATCCACCAAAGCTCTATTTCATTCTTCAAATTTCCGTTATCACTTATTGTAAGATAAAAAACATTAACGATATTGATTTATAGTGACTAGTGAGTGAGTTCGGGTAAATGCATGTGGAAAGGCACAAACACTACGTAGAAAATGTCTTTTATGATGATGTTGTGCAATAGAGAGCTTAGCTTAGCAAAGGTCTTTAGCGGCTGCAACAACCGCATCAACCGTGAGTCCAAATTTCTTGTACAGCACATCGGCTGGTGCACTTGCTCCAAAACTGTCTATACCGATGGCTTTTCCTTTGGAGCCAACCATCTTCTCCCACCCAAAGGTCGACCCTGCTTCAATGCTCACTCTTGCTGAAACCTCTGAAGGTAACACACTTTCTTTGTATTCTTCGCTTTGTTCATCAAACAGCTCCCAGCTCACCAGTGACACTACTCTCACTGCTCTTCCTTCTTCTCTCAGCTTCTCTCCAGCCTTTGCAGCAATCTCTAGCTCCGACCCTGTCCCCATCAGGATTACGTCTGGTTTGTTACCTGTGGAGTTGTCTGAGATTACATATCCCCCCTTCTCCACTCCCTCAACCGAAGTTCCAGGTAGATGAGGCAGCTTTTGTCTGGACAGAGCCAGGATTGAAGGCCTCTTTCTGTTCTCTACAGCAACTTTGTATGCCCCAGCGGTTTCAGTTCCATCCGCTGGCCTCAGCATCAAGATGTTGGGCATGGCACGGAAGCTCGCCACATGTTCTATAGGCTGGTGAGTCGGTCCATCTTCTCCAAGACCGATTGAATCATGGGTCATTACGTAGATAACCCCTGCTTGAGACAGGGCAGAGAGCCTGATGGCAGCTCTCATGTAATCTGTGAAGACAAAGAATGTAGCACAGTAAGGGATGAGCCCCGGGCTGTGACAGGTAATGCCATTGCAGATAGCTCCCATGCTGTGTTCCCTGACACCAAACCTAAGGTTTCTCTCTTCAGGTGCGTTCTTTTGGAAGTCCCCAAACATTTTGAGCAATGTCATGTTGGATGAAGCAAGGTCAGCACTCCCACCGAGGAACCCAGGAAGAACCTTTGCAAGGGCATTAAGACACTGTTGGGAGAGGTTTCTTGTTGCATCTGCAGGACTCTCGGGCGTGTAAGTCTGCAAAAAGAGGAGAACAGAACCATATTAATTCCACCACAGATATTGGCCCGGCATTTTAACATTCTTCCCATGCGTATGAAACCATTTTAAAACATTTGTTCCTCTTTGCTCTTGATATTTCAATTTTCAGAGGTAGGTTTAAAAACAAATAGATTATTCAGGCTTACCGGCAATGATTTTTCCCAGCCAGTAGGTAAGTTAACAGTAATTAAAGATTTCAGTTCTGCAGCTTCTTGTGGGTACTTCTTCTCATAGTCAGCAAACTTAGCATTCCATTCTGTTTCGAGAGCAGCTCCTTTAGGGATATGACGACTCCAGTGGCTGCAAAAAGTGTGCCATTAACATCATACTAACTTCTGTACATGACAACATGCTCAATTAAAGCCACTAACCTCTTGACATCTTCAGGAACATGGAAAGGCCCATATGGCCATCCAAGATTCTTTCTGGTAGCATCAACTTCTTTTTCACCCAGTGCACTTCCGTGAACACTGTAAGAATTTGCCTTGTTTGGTGATCCATAACCAATTGTTGTAGTTATCTGCCCATTTCAAGAAACCAAGTGCATTTTTGTTTTCACTTTTTTTATATAAGAGCAGAATCCATAACCAAGACAAGGGTGTTTTGACTGCTGCAGTAGATAACTTAAGTAAGAGAAATAAGAAGATGGCTTACCTTGATCAAAGTGGGTTTGTCTTTAACAGCCTTAGCTTCCTTAATGGCAGCACGGATTTCATCATAACCGGTGTTTCCATTCTTGACCCATATAACATGCCAACCAAGACCCTGGAAACGTGTTTCCACATTCTCGGTAAAGGCAATCTCCGTGTCACCGTCAATAGAAATGTGGTTGTCATCATAAAAGGCAATGAGCTTCCCCAGACCCCAGTGCCCTGCAAGAGAACAAGCTTCATTTGCAATTCCTTCCATCTGACATCCATCTCCGAGAATAGCATACCTAGGAATAGCTGAAGTCAGTTCCTTCCAATGTGAAAGGTAAGGTAAAAAAAAAAACACTAGCTCATCAAACTAGAAATGCAAGAAACAGTCAAAAGTGTGTTTATTAACGTGTAATGGTCGACAATCTCATTGCCAGGTTTGTTGAATCTGGCAGCCAAATGCTTCTCCGCAAGTGCCAAACCAACAGCATTTGCAATTCCTTGCCCAAGTGGACCTATACAGAAGAAAAAAACAGAGTAGTCATATCGAAGGATGAAGAATTGATTAAAAGCTTTGTGTAAAATCCAAAAAAAGAAAGAAAAAAACCAGTGGTGACTTCAACACCAGGAGTCTCAAAATTCTCGGGATGTCCTGGAGTCCTACTTCCCCACTGACGAAAATTCTTCAAATCATCTTCCTATTCACAGAAACCAAAAATATGTATGTTAGAATCAGATTATATACTCAACCTTAAAAAATAATCAGATCATTGACATACCCTGACACTGTCGTAGCCAGCGAGGTGAAGCAGGGCGTACTGGAGCATGCAACCGTGACCAGCAGACAAAATGAAACGATCTCTGTTGAACCAGTAAGGGTTCTTCGGGTTGTATTGCATCACCTCGTCGAACAATATATGACCCATTGGGGCACATCCCATAGGCAGTCCCGGGTGACCCGATTTGGCTTTCTCGACCGCATCGATCGCCAGGAACCTGATCGTATTGACCGATGTGTCTACCAGCGACACGTCAGTCGCGGCGGCGGATATCGGAAGGAGGCGGCTGCGGCGGAGCGTAGGGGAGGAAGATCGAGTGAAGGAGGCTCTGAGAGCGGAAAAAGAAGGGAGATCTCGCGGAGAAAGGGAAACATGGTGATCCGTAGGAAGGAGGGGAGGAGAAGAACGATTCGATGAAGGTCGAGAGAGGAAAGAAGCCTGTGATGATGAAGTCAGAGACGCCATTTTTTAGAGAGATTTGCTGCTGTTGCCTGCCTCTCTATGTTCGTGTTTCTTCTTTTTAAATATTCATTTCATAGCTGAGACCTTAGTGGGACTGGTGACCGTCGGATTAATTCAGGAGCCAATTATGACCGTCAGATCTGAGGGAGGTTTTGACCAGGCGAATATTGTTTGTTATAGAGAGGAAGATGCAAAGTGATGACGCGGCTCGACGAGGCCGGTTTGGTGCAACAACCCCCGTCTATTTCATAACGCCGTTACTTTGTACCAGACCCATCTCACTTTGGGCCCAAAAGCCCAATATTTTAATGTCCGTTTAATCACGAGTTGCATATTTAATTCAAAATAAACTACAACATCTCTTAATTGTTCTTCTTCCTTTCGTTTAACTTGGCGCAACATATAGTGGACGTACACGTACGTGTGGTGTTTGAAACGGATACACTCCTCGATCGATCGACCTTATCAAGATGCTAACCAAATCACGATGATCACTTTTGCCCGCGTTCCATCAAGACAGAGTTATCTCACTTTGCTTCTTTTCAAAAAAATTTTTTAAAAATTTTCTTTCTAAATGTCTCCATTACAGTAATTAATAATCCAAATGCTGGTCTTCTTGTGCGTCAAAATCTCGACCCTTTCTTTTCTCAATTGTTTCATTATTCTCCAATATGGGAACCCTCTTGGGGATAAATGGTTCCTTCTCGATGGTGTGGATGATTTTTAAGGGCGTCATAATCGTTCAATATATATGAATTACTTAGCGTAATGGTAGTCGAATAGTGCTTAAATTAACAACGAGTTTAAAGTCACAAAATTTGAGTCTCGGCGATGAGATTGCGTGCCACGAGTTTCAATTGTTTTTTGCTAATCCATATATATCTATAACCTACACTCATCGGATTCAGATAATTGATACAAATTATAGTTAAACAAGTATTTGATATATATTCTTCATCGGAAATTTGCAGGCCAAAGCTTGCATACAAAATGATCAAACCCTAACCCCTCTTACCTATCATTATTCACCAATGCATATGATATCAAGATAAAGAGACTTGGTACACAATATAATCATATATCTTACAATAATAATATAATAATATACCCATACAATTAATCTTGGATCGAATCCTTATGCATCTATATATATTACTATATATTATATATATCAACATGAAAAAGGTTGAGGTAACGACACCACATGTCTAGCTAGCGAGCTTCTGCGTAGTTCATCAGGGTTGGGAGTTGTGGTAATAACACAGGTAAGAGGGATCAGCCATAGGAGCTCCAATCTGAGAGTGAGGCTGAAGAATCCTCACCTGCCGTTTCAAGAACTTGGTGTAACGGATGGCTTCGTCTAGCATCGAAGCTGTGTCCATCTTTGCACCGCCAGGCACGATCCTCTTCAGAATTCGGATCTTCTCGCTGATCCTTTCCCGACGCCGACGAGCCACCACCGTCTGGGGATCGTCGCTTATCTTTACGTTACGGCGGTTCGGTTTAGGGACGGTGGCAGGGTCGATGTCTACGGGCTGCATGACGGCGATCATGTACTGCATCTCCTTCATCGCATCCATGTCTTCATCGTACTCTTCGTCTTCTTCCAAGTGAATTAGGGTTTCGGGAGGTGGATCTAACATGAGATGAGGATCATGGAGAAAAGCTGCGTGTTCTTGTGTGATAAGATCATTAGCTTTGTTCCAATCCATGAGCAGTTGATGAGGCTGAGGCTCCATCATGCTTCTTTTGGGGCTGTGGTTGGATCTGCTTTTGGACAAGACACAAGAGTCGCACAGTCCTTTCTTTTTATACTTACCATTTTCCATTTTCATCTTTTCTTATTTCTCAATGTATATATTCTCTTTCCAGAAATATACACATATGTATTTACTGATATCTTTGACTCTATTAATTAATTATTTTACTTCATATGTCTCATTTTATAACTTTTTTTAACCTTTTTTTATCTCTTTCAATTGATTAGATGTTTTGTAAGTTTATATGTAAATTTTAAATTTATTTAATATTTTGTGATTATTTTTATTTTGTAGTATATATTTTTATGTGTTTGCATGGTTTTATTATGTGCTTTAATCATAAAAATCTTACAAAATATTACAAATAGAGTATAACTTATTTATATAACCATTATTATTTATGACTCAACTATTTCCTATGTAAAATGTCCTTGAATTAAAAAATTGGAACTTTTGAAAAGGATTTTAACCCAACCAGGACATTAATATTTATATAGGTTACGTATACAAAATTTTCCAAGATTCAAACTTGCTTCATGTTGAGGTGTCTACTAGTCAAGCTTGCTTATGTTGGGGCTGATTGCGTCTAATTATTGAACTAATTTCTGTTGTCATGTCCCGTGGTCTGTATTTTTCGTTTGCAAATAGTTAATTTTGTATGTCTTAGACGCTAAATTTTTTAGTAAGTATTTCCAAGTTTTTATTTTTTTGATAAAATGTGAATTCTATTACCAAAAGGAACGAGGTTATTTACAAAAGCTTGGGGCAAAGAGCTTCTAGGCCAAAAATAAATAAAAAAGCCGTAGATAACTATTACAAGTTGCTCAAGCTAAGACCATGAGCAATGGTGTGGGACAAATTTTGGTCCCTCAAATATAATAAGATTATTTTCAAAGTTTCTTAAGTTTGGTATTAGCAATGGTGTCCCTCACATTTTGTCCCTTGAATAAAATAATAATATTTTAAATTTAAAATATTAATCATTTAAATTAATAAGTAAAAACATATTAAAGTTGTAATTAAAATAAAACATATAACATTAACATTGAAAACATAAGAAAATTACAAAGTTACAAAAACTTGAAAAAGCCGAGTTGATGAAACAAGATCAGACATAGATGAATACATAACAAATTAAAGCAGAAATTCAAACTTAGATACTAAAATAAGAAATACAAAGTTGCATCTTAAGTGAATACATCAATCTAAGAAATACTGAGCCACTATCTTATCCTTGATAACTTGATCAACTGCACTAAGTGGCTCTGGCTTGGCAAGAAGTGTGTCTAGTATGCCAAGCTTCTGTAGCTTCTCCTCGGATTGTGAAGCTTCCTCAACTGGTCTCCTCTTTGTTCTGCCTTTAGGTGTAAGATTGTTAATCTTGTTAAGGTCCAGGAATTTCTGTTCAAACCTTAACAAACACCAGCAATGGTTCATTGTAAACTTGGTCTTGTGGTCAGAGACGTAGATGTCATGAGCCATCTTCAGCACATCGGTCTCAGAATGTCCACTACTGTTTAGTCTCTCTGCAGTTGCATATGCCCCGCAGAACTTGTTAGTGAAGTCATTGATCTTGAACCACCTTTGCTTACAGTTTATGTTCAGCCCCTGTTCACCATTGGCTATAGCATGAGGAGACTCTGCATAGTATTCTCCGACCCTTTGCCAAAAGCTTCCTGCCGTTTGTTGGTTTCCAATAATCGGGTCCTTTGAAGTGTTCAGCCACGCACTGATAAGAACTTCATCGTCAGCCGGATTCCATTTCTTCCTATCCTTCCTGACAGGTGTCTCTTGAGAAAGCGGTGCATCCTGGGATTGTTGAGAGCTCCAAGTTGGTATTTCTTGGTTAAGTGGTTCTTGTTGACTGTTGAGCAGCTCTAAATAACTAGAGGAATGACTGAATGGAATGTAAGAACTCATAGGAAGAAGAGTTGTAGGTGATGAGGAAAAGAGTGAAGACTGGTTTGGTATTCTCCAAAGAAAGGTTATTGGTTTACCAAAGAAGAGAGATAGAAGATGATGGAGAAAGAGTGAAGGCTAGTTGGTGTTTAAAAGATGAAAAGGTATCAAGTAATAAATTACCATTCATAATGACCTATCTTTGAACTACCTAAGTCTAATCACAATTTAAGACACCTTACACAAGTACAAAGCATTCAAGTAGAGTTTTAGAACAGTGTTATAACAATCCGATTACAAGAGTAATGGTTTAGCAGAGTTTTAGAACTTATCAATTATACATCACACCAGATCAACAACAAACAAAGCATTTAATGGTGAGTCACACAATCCTATTAACTAGATCAGTTTCTGTAACTAGATAATACTAAACCAAACACAAACAAGCACCAACACCAAAATAATCATATCATGTACAAGTTACAACCAAAGACAGACAAACAGATTAAAAACATACTTCAGCTAGAACTTTAAAGAAGATTGTCTAAATTGAAAACTTGGTGACAAACCAAAACGAATCCAAAGCATAATCAAAGCCAAGAAAACACTCAAACAGTTTCATATTACTAAATCGAAACTTGGAGACAATCCCAAATCCATAAAACCTAAATCAGAAACTTGGAGACAACACACAGATCCGAAAATCGAATATCCAAAACTAAACCCTAATCGATTTTCTTTGGCCAACCATACAATAAAAAACACAACCATTGACCATACAAATCCATATACATCCTCTATACCAACAAAAACCATGGATAATCACACGAATTCCCCCAGATCTCATATCGGAAAAAACAAACATACCTTGTATCGCTCGTTTGGAACCGGCGGAGAAGCTTTCTATGGAAGAAAATATCGATTGGAGAAGCTTTCTATGGCAGAGACGAGGAGGATTGCGGTGTGATATCGCCGGAAAATCGTTGGCGATAATTTTCGCCGGAGAAATCGCCTTCGCGAGTCGAGAGAGTCGAGAGAGAGACGAATCGAAAATGTTTCTACCCCAAAAAAATTTCTCCCCACAAAAAAACACCACCCAATCATCAAACGCCACGTGGCAGTGCGGGACGGTGAAGAACGTTTCCGTTTGTGGGAACGGTTCTATAGTTAATAAGGGGTTTTGATTTATTTTTTAAAAAACAATGGCCTGGGACGCTTGCAAGAGCTGCCATTGCAAGTGCTCTAATATACTGATTCCCCAATATCGATCAACATTACAGTTCTTTTTATGTAAAACAAAAGCAAAACAAAAAACAAAATTTTAAGTTTTAACCCACATTATACGTCAAAGAAATTAATTAGTTTCAAAATATAAGATTTTACACAAACATTAGTAGAACTACCACTGACAAAACTTTTCCTGAATATATATTATTTATTGTGAAAACAAAAACGTGATGACATCATCGTGACATGGCCCAGCCTGAACAATTTTAATCAGATATATAAAAATTTGTTATTACATAATTAAATATCATTATATATTACTTCATTCTTTTTAAAATTATATAACTCATGTTTAATTCTGGAATTGTTTTCAACTTTTCATAACTGTTAATTTTGTTAATAATATTTCGATGAAATTATCATTTTAAAATATTTCCTAGAATTCTAATTAATTATAGTGTTGTATGAAATGAAGAGTTCGACACATAATTAACTAGCCAAAAGTCCGTACATATGATTAATTTGGCAAAAGGAAATTAAAGAGAATATCATCAGATCATGATTAAAGCTAAGTTTTGCACCAAAATTATATATTGCCGTTTACAGACTCAATATATTTCTACCTTTTTGGCTAACTAATTTCATGGACTCATTTGTGCTAGTTTATATAAACCTTGTTATAACCATTTAAATTTGTATACGTACGTACGGAGCAATACAAGAAAGACATATAAAGCAAAATCCTATAGACCACAAAAGATAGAAGAAATAGTGTGTGGTCAAAATCATGGTTACTCGAAAAGCAAGATCAAGAACAAGGGATTAAATTTCTAGGGTTTTTCCTAAGGACGAAGAAGGAGAGAGACTTTACGAAATTAGGGCAAAAAAGGAGCGTTGCACTTTGGTGTGGATATCATTGCCATAAGGAAGCATAAGTCGCTCTTGTAATAGTTACTCAACACATGTCTCCATTTTTAGTGCTCATTATTTTGACCTAATTTTCTTCTCTCTCTCCTCTTCTGACAACTCCTATACACCAAAATAGGCAATTTAACATCATTGTTCTTATATTTCTTGTCTTTCTTCTAAAACCCACGGTTTCTTCGACATTTTCTTACAAGCCCTTCCAACGGCCTTGATTTGATCTTAGCTTGGAAATATGAGCTGGATACGATAAATGACTTCTTCAACGTTCTCTTTATGATTTATGGTGTCAATTTCTAGTTCTTAAGTTGTTTTATTTGACGATTTTACGGGATCTCTCCCCCATAACTCATTACACGAAGTGGGGACGGCTTCATCGACATTAAGGTATTGTCCATGGTTTAAATTCTCAATTGGATAAGTAAACTTATAATCACCACTAAATTATACTCCCTCCGTTCCAAAATATAAGACGTTTTAGTAAAGAGCACGCAGATTAAGAAATATCCACTTTGAAAAAGTTCAACCAATCATGAATAAAACTGCATAATATAAATAATCAGAAAATATTAAATTAATATATAATTTGCATAGAAACTTGAAAACGTCTTATATTTTGAAACAAAAATAATACCTCAAAATGTCTTACATTTTGAAACGGAAGGAGTATATATTACTAATTAATCGGTCTATTAAGATACCGTCTAAAAATGTCGTTGTCAACATGAAATTTCTATATGTTGCGTTCATTTCATAGGTATAAAATCAAAAAGCTATAAACATAAATTTTCAAAAGGAGATAGAAACCTCACATCTTCTTTTCACATTGCCTTTAATGAGTTCAAGACAAAATACCCCGTTTCATGCATTAATGTTCATACTTGTTAGAAATTCATCAACAATATACTATTACTATGCAACATCAATTAATTATAAGCTTCCTACTTTCGTCCTTTTTATTAGTTAATATAACACTTGCAATTGGAGTAACTCTTACAATGCGAGTGAATAATCTTATTATAAAACTTCAAAATGATGAGAATTTTTTTTGCTTACGGTGACATTAACAGAAGCTTTTTCTTTGTTGATACATATATCCATATATTTTCTAGTTGTTTTGGGAAACACTAGACATGGCATATATACTTCCCGAAAACTCTATGAAGCTTAACTCAAGAGAATTGGGGAAAAGGTTAGAAAATATATGGTGTATTTGAAATGTTTCTAAAGATTTCTCTCTGTAGAATATGAATCTACGGGAGAGAGAATGAAGTTTTCGAATGTCATGAGTTGTGTTGTGACACTTACTCTTAATGCCTATGCCTACTCCCCTTGTCTATGAGATGGTTCAGGATCACGCTTAAAGGGTAGTTTTGTGCCTCTTGTATAAGAGAGGCAAGTCCCCGGTGAAGGCTTTCGTCGGCTGCAGTCAACTTATTCTACTTCTACTTTATAGTTTAGACATCCAATTTACAGTTTGAACTGATAGAGAATTACAAACATTATTAATGTTGACTTCTCACAAGAAGAGAGAAAACAAAAGTTTGGAGAATCATCATTAAACTAGTAGTCACCCAAAATCACAGCATAAATTACACATTACCCATCAAGATTCTTTCAACATGCGACATCGCGAAACAATCTTCCTGAACTCATCCAAGCTTAGCTGAAACCAAAAATTAAAGAGAAAATCCCAGTATTTAGCATTAATATTTCTCATAAACGTGAATAAGTTCAACTTAGTACCCACCTTTCCGTCCTTGTCCATGTCAAAGCAACGAAGCATGTCTTGTAATTCCTCTTCTGTCCATGTGAAGTCATGCACCGTCGCCATTTTCGCCACATCTCTCAGAGTAATGAACCCTTTTCCAGCTTCTGCGTTTAACAAAAACCGATGATGATCCAATACAGCCAGAGACTCAGTGGAAACTCAGAAGATAGTAAATGGCACAAGCAGATATATTACCATCAAACTGACAGAAGTATATGACCAATTCATCCTGTGTCATCTGCATCTTGCTCATCAAATCCTAGGAATGAGACAACAGCAATGCACATTAAGGACATACTCCTAGACAGTTGAGTTCAGTAATACTTGATGTAAGAAAAAGTAAAAAACCGGTGCTTTCTTCTTCAAAGTTGCAGCCTCTTTATCGTTTCTCATAGTTTTGGTAGGGGTAGTACGACTTTGAGAGCCTCCTGCAACAGAGTCCTGTAGAGAAAGCGCTATTGCCTGCAAGCACTCAAATTGGTACCCCAAAAAAACAAACAAATGGTCATCATGTCTATGTAAATTTAGAAGCAATCCAATTAGCAGCATTACAATGTGAATACCTTGTTTAAGTCATCGTACTCATCATCTGATGTATTGAAAATCTTCTTAGATAAGAGTTTTCTCTTGGAAGCAGAGGCCTTGTTCTTAAATTTAAAATGAAGTCACAAGAAATCAAGAGTAAATATCAAACGGCACAAACATTCATAAAAGAAGATTTAAAACATTCAATGAAGACATGCCAGAGAGTAACCATCATTCACTACTTCACTCATCGTATTGGTTCCTAATGTCAACAGTTGAAATCATTACCTTTCGTTTACGGGAAACACAAGATGAATTACCCAGAAACTCCTCGTCTTCGTCATCGTCAATTTCTTCTACTTCGTCATCGTCCTCATCATCATCGGCGTTTCCGGGTGTATAATCATCGTCTTCTTCACCGGAATTCCACTTTACTCTACGTTTTTTGGAAATTGGAGATGGTGACACAAGAGCCTTGGCGGCTTTAGAGATGCCGAGAGCATCCAACCTCGCTTTGTTCTCAGCGATCCTTGAGAACCTCTGCTTCTCATATTCCGAGATCTTCCCCTTTGGCTCCGATTCTTCGCCGGAACTCGAACTCTCTCGTCCACTTCCTGAGCTCTCTCCATCCGATTCTCCCCTCGCCATTGAATTAGCCAATTAGGGATTTGATTCTCCAGAGTCCAGAGTTTGGGATTTGTTGATTTTGCCGCCTCCAACGATCGTTTAAGTTGGGCCCATATTAAGATTTCAGCCCAAATACTTGGGCTCTCTCTAGTAACGAATTTAGAAAACCTAATAGCCGATTATGTTGGGCTTTAACTTGGGCCCATATTAAGATTGTTGTCACTTTTTGCATTTATCATCACATACATGCTCAAGTACATTTGTGATTTGTGTTATTGTGATGGTCAGATTGTTCAAGGATTGGACACACATCGGAAAAAGGATTTGTATATGTTGAGTGTCTACCGCATTTAAAAAGTATGTATATACAATAGTTTGCTTTGTTTCTTGTGGGATATTTTATGTTTTTTTGTTTATGGCGATTTGAAACAAATACAAATATCAAAATGTATTTCAAAGATAATTTGGCCAACCCTAAGAATATATACGATCCATACAAAAGAAGAAAGTTTCTACCTTTCGTTCTATCATATGAAGGAAGGAGAGAGCGCAATGCGAATGGTGTGAAACGTGTGATTGGTAAATAATGAATGGCCTACACCAACTTTCTCTTCTTCTTCCTTTTTTTGGCCTTTATTATTTTATATTTAGTTTTTCTTATTTTGTCATCAATATTGTTTGATATATAAAAAAAACTAGCCATATATATAAAAGAAAATTTAGTGGGGATGGAAATACCGCGTTGTTTATAAGCTGACTTGACTTGTAAATGGATAAAGCAAGAAAAAAGGCCAAAAAGAGAAACACAAAAGATTAAAGATAAGAATCAAAAAAACATGTTACTGATTTTCAAAGATATACATGAGTCTGGTCTATGTATATATTTCATATATAGCTTAACATATATGGAGCTAGATAATAATTAAGTATAACAATATAAAGACATGCATAGAGATGGAGATAAACATGTGTAATCTTCTTCTGCATATGATCTAAATTAATAAACGATTCCATTGTTATTATATATAGTACGTTGAATCTTGAATTAGAGTAGAGTTCGCTTCTTGAAATAAATAGACTAACTAGAAAAATAAAATGAATTACTTGTAAAGTGAGAGGTTGAGAGAGAAGATATGGTGGGCAAGCTTGGCATCTAGAAAAGGTGAGATAGAGATTGAAAGAGAGTTAAAATTGTATCAAAAGCTTGTCTCATTAAATTATTTATTTAACAATAAATAAACACGAGTAAGAAAAGAATTTTACAATTTTAAAAAAATATACATTTTTAACTTTTGTTATGCACACAAAAACACACCCATCCATTTCAGAGACCCTAGCTCTCCACCTTTATATATAACTTCTTTAGGGGTCGGAATTATATAATCTTTTGTTAGTATAAACTCATTTTGTCCAATTCAAATGTTTATAAATTATATATATTAAACACATATTTGGTACTCGCTTTGGATTTTATCATTTTAATTACAGTTTGTATATATACTCTTATTAATATGATTGAACTAACAACTAATTTGACTAAAATGCGTCATCATAGCAAATGTATATATGTTAGGTTGAAATAATGATCTCATACATACCACTTTGAAAAGGGTCGAGGATGCATGATACGTTCCACCATCCGGTGGCTTTTGTTGATCACAATGTTTGAGGTTATGTTAGTGCCAACGTTTAGAAACCAATTGTTGGAATTTTATACATACACATTTACCGCTTAACATTGCATTATTCATAGTGCTTGTGATTTTGGACTTAAAAAGTAATTAACAACTAATAATAAAATAATTTAACAAAACAGTGGGAAGATGGAAGACAGATGTTAGCTAAAGTCTGATTATAACAAAATCAAAATCTCTCTAACTCCTAGGAGAGCCTTCTTCGAGACAAAAGTACATGCGGTGTCTAAAAGATAAAAAGAAAAATTATAACTCAATTAGTTGGAGGACAAAAAAGCTACGTATTTTATCATCATTTAACTTTTTGTAAGCAATATATAGCCAATCGTTATTCATTTCTTAGTAATATGTCACACATTTAAAAGATGAAACCCAGCAAACAAAACAAAAGGAAGAGAAAGGTTGATAGCTTTCTAATATGTATTTCCCTTCCATATCAAGAAGATGCTTCGGTGTGTGATGTGCCATCTAGAAAATATTTACACAAAATAGTATGTAAATATCTCTGGAACATACAAAATATTAATATTGTTAAGTCTTCATTTTTATTGGATATTGGTTTTAGCTATAAAACTCTAAAATAAAATGTGAACTAATTTATCTTCTTTACAAAATAGTTGTATCTTAAATAAAATGTGAACTATTAGTTTCTATATTTTCTTGGTTTATATATATTGAATGATTCTGAGGTACGAAGTTCGATCCTAGTGATTACATCAATGATCATTTTTTTGTTTTTTCTGGCAAACCAATGATCATAAAATTTTAATTATAATATTTGCGTATGGACCAGTCAATGTTTCTAATTAATATTACTGCCCAAATTTCATCAAACGGTTAGCATTTGAACCTACGAAATGTGAAGATGACTGAATACGTCGGCGCGTTTTAGTGGAGCCGAGCGCATGACCCATGGCCTTGCTTGTTGCGTTAACTTATATTCACGTTGGCATGTTACGGATCTATACACACATTAGTCGACAAAAACTGACCGTTGATTTGGTTGATCATCTCTCATAGGGAAACGACACATGTGTTTCTGCCGTACACGTGTAGATTGACCGATCACGACCGTTCTTCTGCTTCAGGACAAGGCTTATCTGTCAAACTAAACTATTCATTCAGTCAAGGGTGTCTGTATACAATCCAATCCAACCAACGTTTACTGCACAAGAGACAATAACTTACGGCTTATTGTCATTTTTCACTTCAAATTTTGGTATAATCGTCGTCTTTCTCCATTTAATCAACTCTTGATATTTTTCTAAAACGGAAATATTTTGTTAGGATCTTAGATGTTTGAATATTTGTTTTAAATAATAATCCAAAATGTTTTTTTTTTATGTATATATAGAGAGTAAACCAAAATGTTTTTGTATTGTATACTTGGTTTGTTTTTGAAATATTTACGTAGAGAAATGCAATTAATGCGTAATGCAAATGGGCGCATTATATGTATAATGCGTATGGACCATTTAAAAGAGAAAAAGCAAACCTTTTGTTTCGTCGGAGAAAAAAAAAGTTAGAAACGGCGCACCCACACAAAAATATATTGTGGACCAAAATTAAATTAACAAAAATAATACAAGACCCATGTGACATCATGGAGACATATGTTTATAAATTAAAAAAAAAAAGACCCCTCGCAAAGACACAAACCACAACAAACTCTAACCATTATATAATCATATAAATCACCAATAATGAGCAGTAGCTTTCTGCCTCGCATCAAAATCAACACCCCATTCATTTTTAATTAGAAAAAATATATATTGAGCTAATCCAAGCATTATTCTATCACGGTAGTCGACCAAAAATAATCCCCACAATGATATTGAATGTGTTATACTATAATTGTTTGATAATCAGACAATTAATTACTAATTTCACAAAATTTAGAAATTTGTGTGAAACTTAAATTTAAAATCCATCGCACTGAGCAAAATAAAATCGGAAACTAAAAATATGTCATTTAGAATAATTGAATTATGTAAAAGAAATTTTTAATAATTGAATCTCCGGCGGAGTCAGGAGGAGCGACATCTCCATGCGGAAACTCCGACGAGTTCTGTCCTTTGCCAACAGAGGAGAAGAGAGTTATGTTTCTTCTCGACGTGAAAGCCTCTCACCGGCGTCCGTTGAACCAAACACTCCGCCTGAGACTCCGTGAAGTTACTGTGCGCCACCGGTGAGAACCCCATCTGCAGAAACATCGTTTGCCACGTCATCATCGGTCTCTCCATCGAACGGCTACGATCCAACACCAGCTTCTCTATCTCCGGCTGTATCAGAAACCTCTCGATCTTCTGCATTGCGTCGAGGTTGGCGTTGACGGCGTCGAGGGATTCGAGGAGAGCGGCGTGTGAGTGCAGCGAGTGTGCGACCTTTTGCGGGAAGGGAAGATCCGTCCTCTCGCATCCTCTGTCGGAGCAGACGATGATCGTCGGAGATAGATGCTTCACGAAACGGAGGACCAAAGGGAGGTGCGAGAAGGACGCGGCGGAGATGTTAACGGCGACAGCTTCTTTCTCCGACGAGTTAGGCCACGAGATGGAGCCGAGGAGGTCTAAGCTAAGAACTTGGATGTCAAGGGAGATGTTGATCTCAGAGGCGAAGTGCTTGAGATTGTCTTGAGTGAAGCCAAGTTCAAGCTGGTCGTGGTTCCCCGGAGAAGCGAAAACGGTGATCTTGAGGGAGAGAGGAGCGGCGTTGTCGCGGAGAACGAGCTCCTGCATGAGAGAGGCCCATTGGCCACCGTAGCCGATGTCGAAGTCGATGATGTGGAGACGGTGGAAGCCATGGAAGGACTCTAAGAGGGCTTGGTTGGAGGTGAAGTTGGCGAACTGGAGAACGGGAGAGATCTCTGAGAAGGATTTGTAAGCAGCGATCTTGAAGATGAGGGAATAAGGGTTTAGGGTTTGGGAGACGTTGTGGAGGAGATTGTTGAGAGCTTCTTTGAAGTAAAAAGCTGCTCTTTCTAATGGCTTCCCGACGGGAGAAGAGAGCTGTTGATTGAGCCGCGCCAATATCCCCTGAGCGAGACACGTGTCGCTCTCTATGACCTCTGCTGCCTTAACCAGCTGCTCTGTTATCCCCACGGGACCAGGGTTAAGCCGCTTTGCCGGCGGATTCTGTGTATGGTGGTGGTGGCCGTAGAAGATGGCCGCCGGATTCTGTGTGTAGTGAGTTTGACTTTGGTTAATTAGAAGGCCGGGAACATGCGACGGTGGAACTGAGTGGTGGTCTAAACCGAAGCCGGTATCGACGACTCCGAATCCGGGTGATGAGTAGTCAGAGTCGTGAAAGGTGGGAGAGGTTTGGAGAATGCTGTTGAGTTCAAGAGAGGGATCTGTGGAATCTCCCATGATGAGTCTGAGAATGCTCTGTTCGTGGTCATGAGGAACTTGCTCCCAATCACCCAACCCAATGGTTCCGCATTGCTCATCGGTGGTGGCGTCGCCGCCGCCTCCGACGGCGCTGTTTCCGCCGTGAGAGGAAGACACCGTGGAGGAGGAGGTTGGGCTTATGAGGGCGTCCAGAACAGAGGTAGGCTCCGCCGCGGGAACTTCTTCTTCCTCTTCTTCTTCGCCGCCTCTTATTTTGCGGCGGCTCAAAAGCGGAGACGGTGGTTGAGGGAAGGAAGACGAGAAAGAAGAGAAACAAGAAATCCCCTTCCCTTGAAACTCTTCAAAGGGTAAGGGCATTGCAGACTTTATGTACACCGATCAAAAATGGTGTATTTGTCTTCTTGGAGCTCTTCTTCTTCTTCTTCTTCTTCTTCTTTGTTGTTGTGGTGTGGTGTGGTATATTGGATGCGTGCAAGATATTAAAGTGGCAAAGTGGGCTTCCTCCTTTCTTTTTCTCTCTTATTTCCGTTTCCTATTATTTTGCCTTAAACTATTTAACAATTAATCAGCTTCTCTTACACAACATGTTGTTAATCTTTGCTTTCTAAATCTTAACTATGTCTTCTATTCCAACCCCACTCTCACATCACGCGCGTGTCTTGCAAGCTCCTTCCAATGACATGATGGTAAACAAAAATACAAATGTTATGATATATTTGGAAAGGTGGAGTTAGACTATTTTAATTTTGTGTTGTTGTTCGCCTTTGTGATTTTTTCGTTCTACAAATAGCACTAATCTTTGAAGTTTGTGTAAATATTGCTTTGCTGAGTGATTTGTCTTTCCAAAATTTTTTGTAAATTGCAGTATTAAGTAATAGAGCTTAATCTTGATCTTAGGGTTATAATCATGTGCAATTGTGCATAAGTCTGTCATAATAAGGAATAAAAGGGTATCTGAGTCATTTCACACGAATCATTATCTGAACCGGACTGGTTTTCGAACAGGATGGCAATTTCAAAAAATGATAATTGAACGGCTAAGATACTGTTCATAGACAAAGCAACGTGTGGCTACGATCAATACCTTCTTTTTCGTTTTGGCAAATTCGATTTATCAAATGAATTACTAGAAACTACATATGTATATAAACAAATATTTCCCTTGCATATGGTAAAAGGTCGTGTTTTGTGCTTTGGTCTTGTGGTTTCTCTTCGGGTTTAAGCTTGTTTGCCTCTATTCTTAATTTATGGTTTCGATCTCTTTCGTTTTTTACTTTAAAATTTCTGCTTTGTAATTCTAATGGTTGTGTTTCCCTTGTATAGAGCTTAGTTTCCAGGGAATTTACGTTTTCCTCCGGTTTAATTAGTTTCTAGGAAATTTTCTGTTATCCGCCGGCTTAGTTTCTTTTGTTTCGACTTTGTATTCGACTTTGGTTCACCTCAAGTTTCAATAATAAAAATTTCAGATGACAATATATATATTGTATATGGGAAATATATATATTTCCCATATTTGTATTGTTGTACTGGGTATTTGTTTACATGGGAATGTTTTTGTTTTCTGATAATTTATTTTCATGATGAAAACTTTGTGGCTTAGCTTTTTTTTTTTTTTGTCATCACTGTGGCTTAGCTTAATTACAAACTATATTTGGGATATTGTTTTGTTTTGTTTTATTTAGTCTTGTTTTATCTCAAAGGTGCTGTCGTTATTTCCTTTTGTGTGATCTTTGTCCTCAGTGGTTTGTTTTAGGGTTTGGACAAGCTTTTGGATCATCATTATCAAATTAACCAATCAAATCACCCAATCCATTGTACAAGCTAAACCACATATAACGCAGTGCTTACATTAATTTGTTTTTTTTTTTTGCTACGGACATGAATTTAAATTTATAAATCTAAACCAAGTGGTGAATGTATATCTTGGGGTTACATCAAAATATCTGTTTTGTTTTGGTTGTTTTAACGTAATGAATGCTCGTCATTAGCCCGAAGATCTATGAAACATTCAAGTACTTCATAATTTGCATTCGATCTTTCACATTTGCATTCAAGTACTCCACAATTTGGATAAGGCTTCAATCACAACCGGCTCCTTGCCTCCTTCTATCCTCTGGAAGCTAGAAGCTCAGGCATCCATCTTTCACTACATATAGAAACAACGAAACAACTTTCTCCACAATTTGCAATTGATCCCTCCAAGCTCAATCTTCAAGTGCATTGATCGAGACATCAAAAACATCATCACATCAAGAAGAATTAGACGCAATTTTCGAAAGTTAATAACGTGTTGATTGCGTTGAATTCTACCAAGTTTTCTCCCAGGATCTATTGATTACCTTGTTTTTATATTTTTTCTTACAAGAAATCAAATACATGTATAGGTTAAACAAATCTTGTAAAACCTGACTTTTATAATTTATAATGATATTTACAGGCGTAACAAAACAAAACAAAAACATTCAAGTACTAGGAGTTATATATTTACGTGTGTATATGTAAAAAATATACTTTCTTTGGTTCATCTTTTCTTTTTAAGAAAAAAGTGATTGAAGATCTGTGAATGATGTTTCTTCTGTGACAAGTTAAATGCACGAGAGATCGTGAAAGAACGAGTGGTAATCCTTTATTGAGCAGACAATGGATGAATGTAGCAAGTCACCAATCACCATATATATCTACCAATGGGAAACCCTATAATAAATATATAAATGAATAAAGCAATCAGAAAAAAACAACAAGAAAGAGAGGTGAACAAAAGAAAAGAAAGAGAGGTGCATGGGTAATTGATCTTGAAGACAATATCGGACCAATTTTGCAATGAATGGCGACAGTTTCATTATCATGTAAATGAAAAAGCATTTACTTTTTCTATGCAAACCATTTCATTAGCATGAACAATATCAGATTCAAATTAAAAGCTATCTTTTATATGCAAAAAAACACAGAGTTCAGTTTATTATGTGATAATTTTAGTCCCATATTATAATACTTGTTGTTGTTAAAGTTATAGTTAACTTACGTTATATAACAAAAAGTTAATATGTTCATCTTTAAGATTTTGTTATGTATGTTCCCATGTGATTTGCTAACAACTACTACTCACACTTTTTCTTTCTTATAAAATTACAATAAACCTTGAAATGATCTCGTGATTATATTAATTTATTTTCTTATTCCTTTTTAAATTAACGATATGTTATATTAAAATGAAAAAAAAAAACTGAATCTTAGGTATATCGATAAACCAACAGTCCTGTAAAATGATCACATACATAATACACCAACACATTTTCAAGTTTCATGATATATTATCATATTTGGTATGTTGGAATAATAATATATATGTGTATGTGTTAGCTTCGTGAGGGTGAAGTAAGTGGTGAAAACATGTTCTTTTCTCTTGTCTCAAGGCACCTTCATCACAAGCAACACACCCAACCCCACTCAATCGGATAGTTATGAGAAAATTAATATACATTTATTATACAACCCTTAATCATTTTACAAAGTGAAGAAGATTTCAGCTTATTTGTTCTCCTAAATCGGGGTTTGTATGATGAATAGAATCGTGTTTTGCCATCATTAGAGGAAGAAACAAAAAAAGTCAGCTAAATATATTAATCCTGTCAAACAATAATTTATATGAAGGATGACGTGTTAGAGTTTGAATGCATGTAACCATATATATAAATGATTGCGTCGTTCATTTTGTATTAGATTTTAGGATAATGATTAGTTAGATTAGACAAAAATTGATCAATTATTATTAGGAGATCACATGGGACTGATAAGGATAAAAGAGAGAAGATTTCTTCTTCTCATTAGAGCCAAAGTAATACTAATACTTATGATTAAATAAACCAACCAAGATCGGCGGGAAGTAATTAACAATTATCACAATATAAAGTTGGTAGAGGAATTTCCTTATTTCTTTAAATCATTCATTTTTTAATATATAATCTAACTCTCATTTGATCATGACAACACTTTACTATGATCGAATTACACTCTAAAATACAGAAGTCCCTTAGTGATTATAACCCGGCCCAAACAACGTAGTCTGCATCGTGCAGTTTCAAATTCAATTGCCACATTTTCAGTCCATAGAAAGCCCAATCAAATCAACTAGATGGAAATGGCAGGGTCTCATTAGGAGGATAAAACTCATTTTCTAGTACATACTATACGTCTCTATTTGTTAATATATAGTTCTCTGAAACTTGTATTCGATAGATTTGTTTATCAATAATTTGGTTACGTGCTTTTCTGAAGAAGATTTAGGACTGTATTATTCAAATTAACCAAAACATAACACTTTTTGCAAATTTTGCATATACAAATACAATATAATACAAGCCACTATCTCCAAGTCTCGGAACGTTCTTTCTTTGATTAAGGGAGACAGAGGACACATAATAATATTAGCAGACGAATCCCTGAGGAACATTTTTGCCGCAAGAGTTGAGAAGTAGACTGAGAGCAACGGGAATTTTGACCGGAGCAACTCCGAGAATGCTGGTTTTAAGGGCGGTGCACAGACAAACGGCACCTTCAAAGTCAGCCAAACCTTTGATGAGTGAGCAACATTCCTGGCTCGGTGGTGTACCGATGACCTCACGAACCAGACCTAACCAGCTCCCACACACTCCAAATTTGAGAGTGTCTCTTGGACATTTCGTGGTGGCTTGTTTTGTGGGAGGGGGAGGGCATGGCTTGACGGTTGCTCCTGGTGTAACGTGACCGAAGAAGAATGTTATGTTGAGGAGCAGCAAGATGAGAAGAGATCGCAAAGCTTTCGAGATACCCATTAGGTTTATTTTGAAACCAATAAGGAAGAAGAGAGGCCTTTACAATTTGCGTTCTTTCTTTGCTGGTGCCTTTATCATTGTGGCTTTGTGGCTATAATTGTTTGTGTTATCCCTAGTTCTGTAAAACGTATTTGTCTTCTTCTCTAAATTGAAATCTTGGGATAATCTTTTCCGATCACTCAAAAATACAGTTGTTGGTGTTGGTGTTGCTGTTCGAAAACGACACATTCATATCTTTGATATATATAATATCTGATAGACTTTTATACATAGCGAGATTTAAGGAGTTGACCCTTGGAGAAAAAGTTTAATTTTTTTTCCTTGAGAAAACAAATGAACTTGTAAACCCCTTGGAGAAGAAGCAAATGATAAACATAAAGGTAGCTCTATATATCAGAGAAACTCACTGGATTAGGCTAATCTAATTTGGTGTGGAAAAATGGGGTTCATAAGAAGTTACTTCTCCTTCGTCTGCGGAACCATCTGCGGGATTTATATAGCGCAGAGCTACAACGTTCCAAACATAGAAAAGGTGGCTCAAGCAGCCTATTCCATGGCCATGCAGATGGAAGAGAGATACCGTAAGACAAAGACCAAGCCCAGAGAAGACTTCCAAGACTAAAACATGTCACTGTTTTCTTTCTACATTTTTGTATGATGATGAGTTTTTCTTATTTCCAACAACATTCTTTGTTTTTTTAATCAAGCTGTTTTAGTTCCAATCAAAAGAACCGACTCTTGAGATCTTACTACAGACTCAAAAGAAGTGTGTTCAAATCAATAACAAGAAACCCTGCCACAAAATCACCCCGTTCCTGTGCTACAGCTACTGATTTTACAGCTTAAAATGAAACCCAAAAAGAAAATCACCTCCATTATACGAAAATCTGGTCAAAAAATACTTTTTTTTTTTTAACGAAAAAGGTTTAGAACTTTGCAAGATTTGATGATTAAGAGGATGATGAAGCTAACCCCATGGCGTTTATATCCGGTTCAATATGTAGCCAATCACGCAACCGAGCAGACCCACCAACAACATCAACACCAAGGAATAACCACCTGACTGCTTCTTGCTTGATTCTTTCCTCAGCATTTCCTGAATACACAATATATGTACTCCTTTAAGAAGATTAAGCAAATAACAAGTAGATCACTCGGCTAAACGCTTACCAGTTCCAGTCGGAGCTTCTGACTTTGTTGAGTAGCAAAAGTCTTCTCCTCGGTCAATTTGGAAATCATAGACCACGCCTGAGAGAATGCGATGAGATGGTGAGACAAACTATCAAAATGTCGAATGGAAAAAGACAGGATTGTGATGTTACCTCTGAAGATTTCTCATTTGTTTCTTCAAACGTTCTCGACACCTGAGAGAGGAAGATGAATATTATTAGTTGCAATCGGTTACTTAACTATCTTTCTGGATAACAATTCTGAGCACATTGAATGATCTCACGTCATCAAATAGTGAGGCAGTTTGAGAGCCAATCTCGTTGACAGAAGCCATAGGAGAGTTGCCTTCTTCAGAGCCTTCAGGGACGGGTGAAGGGGGATTAGCAGGGATGTAAACAACCCGCAATTTGAAATCCTCAATCACCCTGCCAGCCTCCTTGTCGAACTGCAAGAACCAATTAATAATAATAATAATATTGTAAGGCCACCCCAACAAAACAAAATCGAAAAAACAAAAAGGAGAGTGTGGAAGCATTTAGAGTCCAACCATTTCAGAGAGGACTTCTTTGGAAGTAGTACCATCAGAGACAACAACAGTCTGAACAAGGAACTTGTCTTTGCATTGCATATCAAGAGGAGCCTCTTTCTGGGCTTGCATCGTCACTGAAACAAAACCAAAGCATTTCAAGGTATCTATAAATGTGTCCTAGATGATAACTCAGTTGTTGTCTTCACAACAAGACCCATAGATTAGATATAATAATCAGTAAATGGGAGAAAGACATGTCGTATTCCAGAAGAAATGGTGGAAAAACCTGTAACATTGCAGGAATCGCCAGGCAAGACAACACCGGTGTTAGGACGGACACAGTATTTGCGAGGATTGGTAGTTTTAACCTGTGTGTTGATTGAAGCAGCATCAAAAACATGAATCAATCTCTCTCAAGTCTACTACTAGTAAGAAAAAAGATATAAAAGATGACCTTAAAAGCGACACATTGAGTAGTTGTCTTGTTGGTCAATTGCATCGAACACGAACTCTGCTTCTTCAACTCAACTTCACCCCAACCACAAAATTCAATCGTAAAACCAAACAACGGTCCAATTCGAATTCAAGATCGAAAAACGTAAAAAAAAAGAAAGTGAAATGAATCAGAGAAGGATCAAATCAATCAACCGGAAAAACTTACAAGGGAATTTAAGCTCAGTAGGATGGATATTCACGAGATCTCCGGTCGTCATGCTTCTTTCTTGTAGATCCCCTTCGCTTTCTATCACAACAAATTCTAATCCTCAATTTGAATTTCAGTTTTTAGGGTTTACTACTGTGAGAATAATCGAACAAATTTTGATTTTGATTTTGATTTTGATTTTGATTTTGATCAGAGAAGAAGAAAAGTAAATAATATTAAGAGCAAAGATTGGTGGATTTTCTTACCTTTTTTTTAATAATTAATGCCACATAAATAGATTTGACTATCACCACCGATTTACCGTGATTTATTTATGCGTAACCGACCGTTACGTTAGCCCAACATATTCAAGGCTCTTGTCCCAAATAAGCCCAACAGCTTGGATCCATTATATATACTCTTTGTTGGGCTTCCTAAAGCCCAGTTAGTTTTTCTCGATAATAAGCCTTTTTTCTTTGTTGAATTCTTTGTGTTGGAATATATCAACTTCTAATATGAAATCATAAAGAGAAAAAGACAGAATCATTAATGTTGAAGCCTACCTAGCTTAGCTTTAATTATTTTTATCGTTTTTGACTCTTTATATTCTGTAAATTGTTTTTCATTGGTCGAATTGTATTAGGATAATTAAAAAACGGAGGGAGTATATAACATGACATTGAAAGAAAATAAAAATCATTTCAATTCCACTCGAAAATTATACCAGAAGTTCCCAAAATTTCTAAAAAAAAGGATATGTCTCCTGATCGATTATCAAATTTCATAATAGTAATAATAAGTTAAGTTTGAGCAGAAATTAACCACATTGTTGAAGATTAAAGATTGAGAAAGTCGTAGCTAGTTATGGGTCACCCCAACGTTGGCAGTTGAGCCGTAAAAGCCTTCTCTTCCCATCATCGAATCCTCTCCTTCCTTCATTTTCATAAATATACAAATAAGAAAAGTTTGTATGGTCAATGCATGCACCTGATTATATATAAAACATTGGCTTAAAATAAAAGATGGTAGTAAGTAACCTGTTGGCGCACGTTAGCCTTCTTGGTGGGAGGATGATCAGCCATGAGACCAAAGTGTATGTGAGGGAAATGAGCCCACTGTTTCATACATACATCATATACTAATTAGCTCTTTTGATTTGGGTTTATTTGTATCTCGCTCGCATGGACAAAAGATGACATTAATGTGTCAAATTTTAATCACAGGTGAAAAAACCCATCGTTAAAGGTTTGGCAATCAATTTAGATAAGTATTATCTTATATACTACTACAACATAACAACTGGGTCAAAAATATACGAATAAACCAGACATATGTCTGCTTGGGGACGACTTTTACTGAAACCCTAGACTAGATCCTGAGGCTATTAATTATAGCTAATATATGCTGGATAAAGCTTATAGTTTATGGATTATTAGGGTAACTATTTTGTTTATGGTTTTCTTAAAGTAACGTGAGAATCAATGTAGCTCCACAATATCTAGCTAGGTGCAGTCAATTGCTATATATATATTATTCAACTCATAACGACTAATGTGATAATATACTATATGTTTATGGATATGTGAAATATAGCAAAATTTGTATTATTAAAAACCAAATTAAAAGAGTAAAAAAGAAGAAAAAAAAGGTACGTTTTTGGCAGCAGCACTGAAGGCTTCTCTGTGGCTGATATCAGGGTTGCCTGCCTTTATACGTTGGATCTCCTCCCTGTCAACATTTTTATTTATAATTTGTATAATGAAATCAAATCTGTCACATCTATCGACTTAGTTATTTGAGTAAATGGTTAATTAGGGAAATTTAATTATGCCATTTTAAGCAAAGGAATAAAATTATTACTTGATGAATCGGTTGTATGCAGATGGTACTCTTTGTCGCTTCTCTGGGGCTGCTTTTCCACAAACAAACAAACAGAACATATTCAATTTTAATTCCAAATCAAACCCTTTTGTATAAAAAAACATTATTGATTTATATTGTGTCTCCCCAAAAAATCTAAATATTCACCAAAATATAATTAAATGAAAAAAAAAAACAAGCTCTCTCTCTCCCTCTCCCTCTCACTTTGCTCGTTATCATCATCACTTCATCATTATCTTTCTTACGATCAACCCCAAAAATATATGAGTTGGCGTCTATAGGTTTAGCTAGATTTCCGGGGGATAAACACATCACTTATTAATTTCCTTTGTCGAATAAAGAAAAGAAAAAAAAATGTGCATGCGAGAGAACTAAGAAGTCACATTCCGAGAGGAATCAAAACTTAGAAACTCCTAAACAGAAAAAAAAAAAAAAAAACATTATATATAAACAAACCAGATTCTTTGGGGTATGTATATGAAAGGTTGAAGAAATGAATGGATAAGATTTTTGTGAATTAGGGTTTTTGTTTTCTTGTATATATATGGGGATGCTGAAATAAAGAATAGAAGATGGAATGTTTACGTCTATTGGCTGGTGGCCGAGGCATCTCTTGCAGATGATCCACTCTTCCGTTGCGAGTCGGCATAACCAAAGACTCGTTCGGGTGGTGAGCTGCGCCGTGATGGCTCATCATCATGTTCATGTTTATATTCTGCCCTCCGCTTCGCATTTCCTCCTAATTACCAAATGAAATCAGCAAACTATTTGGCAAAAAAAAATTAAAAAGACAAATCAAACCAAACTACTTTGATATGATATTTTTGAAAGAAACACTAGCCAATTAGCCATTGCAATAATTGCGGATTGTCTGAATCAAGTCATAGATCTAGCATGTAAATGCTAACCTAATTAAACGTTTTTGGATTGAGTTTCACAATTCTGCGTTACTCGAAAAGCCCTAATTATTACTCTCTTTTTTTTTTGGAGAAAACCCTAATTTGTTTGAATGAATAAAAATCGATATACCAAAAGATTGGGAGGAGAAGGAGGAGGAGGGGGAGGTAAAAAGGAATGGCCAAGGTTGGAAACGGAGGGAAGAAGAAGAGCTCTCATGCTTACAGTCACCGACAAAAGGTTCGAACAGTGGCCACATCTCACCGTCACGGTCTTGAACAAACTACTCGGAGGAACACTCACCTGCCAATATCACACATTAAGTAAGCACTAATTCATGTGAAACCCTAGAGCTAGAGATTTAATATATATGAGAATGAGATATAAGAATAATCGAAATTTACAGCAAGGACAGTGTCGCAGAAGCTGCAATGGACGTAACAGAGCTGCTCCGAAGATGAGAAGTGGTCCGGTGGAAAAGCTGGAGCTGAGGAGGACGACATGGACATGCTCGACATGGACTCTTTTTTCTTTTTCTTTTTTAAGAGAGAGAGGAGGGTTTGATTTGATTGAAAAGATATGACTGATCGATATCCAGATAGAAGTAGCTAGATTCTCCTTCCACCACACCTTTTGACAATTGTGTTAGTGTTGGGTGATGAGCAGTACTTTATAAATGTCTTGTACTTCTCCAGAAGTTGAAGTCCAGAGAGAGGGAAGAGAAAGAACGGTGGAGAGGAAGATGTGGTTTAGAGAGAGAGAGAGATTTCTATTTATGTAAAAATGAAGAGACACTGTACCTAAACAAATTGGCGACATGTGATGAAGAGGCCATTGTAGAGATAAGCTGCATACCTGCATTCTCATTTACTACCTTTTGAACCGGTTTTTTCTTTATTATTCCAACCCCATCCCTTTCTTCTATATATTAAACCGGAACTAGTCTTTGTTTATATACAATCACACATAAAAACTATACTTTGTGATTAATAATCATATCAAAATCTCATAGACAAAGTTAACACCAGGGTAATTAAATTAATTAGCTATGTTTAACTAATTTTTGATCAAATTGTAGCCGGTCGGTGAAGAATAGATAAAAAGATTTCAAAGTTTAATAACGACAAGATATTTGTGCAGCATCAAAGATATTGCATACGACAAACATGTTAACTTTTTTTATCAACTATTTAAAACGCATATATGCCGGAAAAAAACAAAACTTCAATTTGGCTTAGTGTCGTACGTGACACATGTATAGAAGATTTAACCATAACAATAGGGTTTAGGAGTTTATTTGAATGTCGAACATCGAACATGAAGATATTCTTAATTGACATGTTAAGTTTGGAATTGTAGTTTAATGATTTCTGTTTCGGTTAAGCATTTTGTTACATGGTTTGTGTCGTCGCAATGATAATACAATAACAAAAAAATATCAACTAGCTACATTTAAACATGAGATAAAGAGGGTTCTGTTTTTCCCATGTAAGTTCGACGGTCCCTGATTGGCTCTCTCTAGAAGCGAGTCTTATTCCGTGAATTAATATATGGTGTCTGATTGACAAAAAAAAAAAAAAAAAAAACATGAGATAAAGAGGGAACAATATGAAAATAAGGTTGGTGTTGTTTTCATAGACCTAAAAGCAGCAGGACTAGAAACTTGAATGTGTAGTGGTGGATCTCCAAAAAATCCTTGGCATATTACACCCATATTTAGAGTAAAAAGTGGTCAAATAGCTAGATGTTATTGTTTTTACATGCACATACACATACACTCGCAGTGAACCCAACTCTTCTGCGTATTGAGGTCATTGTACAAGTCTTCTCCGCAAAATAAGAAGAAGATAATGTAAAAAAAACGAAGTTAAATCTAAACTGGTTTACGGTTTGAATTCAATTGGATGGAAAATTGTTTTTGCTTTTTTCTTTAAAGGACGCAAAGTTCGATGAAGTGGGAGAGAGAGGAAGAGGAAAGGGACTTGTGCATGGAAGTGATTAAGCAAAGGCTCATTCATCAGTTGTTTTCACACTTAATAACATTTCTGCCACACCACACTTTCCCTCGATCCTCGTCAATTCCTTGCCCTTTTTTTATTTATTATTGTATATACTTTCTCTATATTCCTATGTATATCATTTTGTCATCATTATTTTTACCAGCAAGTGTGTGGTTTCACTAAATTCCATAATACAGGACCACAATTTTGTGGTAAATTCCCAGTTGTTCGTGCTAGTTACTAGGTCATAGTGAAATTCAAATTTATTTATACATATTCTGAAATTTAGTTTGAGTTTTTGTAAATATATATTATGGCTATCCGATTTCCCAATATATAGAATATGATATTTGTAAGTCTAATCCTATAACATATATATACAGTTTAAGTAAGTACTATAGTAAAGTTTTTTTTTGTTTTAACTCCAAATAATATAGTATAGTTGTTTTGCAACTTTAGTATTTGTATTGAGTTTTGTAAAAGTAACTGTACATCAAATCAATTCATGATGTTCTATTGGATGAAAGATTCATGGGATTTTGGTCTAATGTGCCACTTACTGTTCAAAAACTTAGCAAAATTGCCACAATACATAAATCTTTCCAAATGTGCCATAATGGTGGACAAGACTTTTAAACGAAAATTTTTGGTAGACAAGAAATGTTGTCCACCTTTGAAACAATAGATTGGAAAGATATTTGGTGGACAAAAAATCTTGTCCCCCTTTGAAACAACAGACTTTTGGTGGACAAGAATTCGAAACGACATACAAAAATTTGGGTAGACAAGAAATGTTGTCCACCATTATGGCACATTTGGAAAGATTTATGTTTTGTGGCATTTTTGCTAAGTTTTTGAACAGTAAGTGGCACATTAGTTAGATTTCTCAAGATTCATCATATATATAGGGCTAATGGAAAAAGGTTCAAATTCTTTTCATTACGATTTAAGTCATAGTTTGCCACTAATTAAAAATATCCGATATACTCATATAAAGTTTTGAAAATTTGTTTGAATTCGTCTAGAAATTCTTGTTTGTAGAAAAAAGAAGGATATGAAATAAAATAAACTATGAATGCAGAGAAAGACAGAACATTAAAATCGAGGACGACACAAGGCGTCGAAGTTGACTAATTATAAAAGTAATAATCGCGAAATCATGTAACCCTTGTTGAAAGCAAAAAAGTTGAAGAAAGAAGAAGCTTATTTAAGAACATATATACTGTTTTATTTCCGATTTGACCATTCATATATCTCAATCTACCTTACACTTACACACAAACATTATATATAAATGTACAGAGCTAGGCATGTATAGTTTGTCAGCGACAGGGATCTCTTTTTTTATTTCTTACTTTTAAGACACTTTCCCTCTAAATATTTTCAGGTCTGAATTTAAACAGAAATTTTCACAAAATAATATATTGAATTTTTCCACCGCCTGAATGGGTGAGAGAGAGAGAGAGAGCTGTCATTTCTCACACAAACACTTTGGAAAACAATCAACATCTGAGTGTATATATGCACGTGTATATGTCTCTCTTTAGTTTCATTAACATTCCCGTTTCTAGCCACAGTTTTGCATTTCACTAGACATCACATCTTTTCAAGACCTCTAACAAACTAGAACTACTTTACATAGTGGAATAACATATTTCTAACTTGTTCATTTATTCAATATATTGCTAATTGGCTTCTTTTTTCGACAAAATGATAATCTATTACACTAAACTAAAATTTACATCGTCACCACAATACAAATATTGAGTTCACCACGAAGTTGAATATATAAAGAAGAAGAAAATATATTATTAGGATGATTATATCTTGCTAACAGGTGGAGCAGCTTCAGTCGTCTCTGTTAGTGTCTCGTTTTTGTGGTTCTTGTGAGGTGAGGTCATCGCGTAGCATCGAGTTCTCGCTTGTGGTTTTGCTGGTTCTATGCTATGGAGGAGCTAGTAAGGCCAATGGGCGATTTGGTGTGGTTTTGTCTCGTTTTATGCGGCTCTGCGCGCTAGCCGACATCGGGGAAAGATCTTGGTAGAGTGAGCTCGCACCTATCGCAAAATTTGGTTCGTGTGGTTCTGTTCTGTGAGCGCTTTGTCAACACAGTCTCAGGCCACCGGTGAAAGGCTTCCAGTGCTAGTTGCGTCTCTCGGCGTTTTCCTGGTTGCTTAGTCGTCCTTCATCTTCTTAATCTCATCAAAAAGAACTTCAGAGTCACTTCATTTGACTCCATTCGCTTTGTTGCTTATGTTGAGTCAATGGACTGAAATTTGAGGATTTCAATTTATGCTTCCATGTTTTTATCTTTTTTGCCATGGGACCATTTGCATAAGTTTATAATCTTTGATTGTATTCCTAAACTTTTTCATTTTCGATAAAATATTTACCTTCTTAAAAAAAAAAAAAAAAAGAGAGTTAGTATCTTTATAATTTATAAGATTTTTGTATCTCGACCCTTTTTGTATTCTTTAATAAAGATCACTAGATCATGACCCGCACGTACGTGCGGGGTTTCACATTTTAAGATATGTGTTGTATAAAATATATAAATTTGTCAGAAGTATTTAAGAAATTGTTTTTTGTTTATGTTTTGGGAATTAGATAATAGAATAGATACCATAAAAAAATATTAGAAATTAAATGGATATTGATATTATGTGTGTCTAAATAAAATTTGGTACACAATTTTTTTCTGTTTGATTAGTTATAATGTTTGAATAGAAATAAAAGTAAAAAATTAGTAAACTGTTTTTGGTGAATGATTGGATAGGTTTGCATGGTTTTGGTAAATAATCTATACATAATTTGGAAAGTTGCAGATTTGGTGTTTTTAGTTATAATATTGTTTATGATTTTTTTTATAGAATATTAGATTTTAATAAAATGTAAAAAGATTTATTAAGTAATCCAAAATTATTGTTTATAACTTTATCCAATGATAATTAATAAAAACTGTTGACCCAAATTTAAATAAAGTGGCCCATAACTGTATCAGAATTTAATTCTGTATGGGCCGAAATATTTATAGACCCAATTAATCTGACTATTGAAAATTTGAAATCGATCCATGTTTTCGTTTTTGTTTGTATTTTAATATATTACTGGATTTTTTTTCATTTTGGACAGATAATTGTAAAAATAACAATTATTGTCTTTATCGGTGAAAAAAAAACAACACCCTACAAATCTCAGGCGATTGTTTGATCTACGAATCAATTCCAAAATTGTCTGATAATCAAGCTATTACGTCTCCGTTTATCATCTTTTCATCTCAAATTCGGATTACTACAAAGAGGTAAGCTTTTTATTGATTCAGATTTAGGCAACTACTGATTTTTTAAAAAATTCAATTCGATTTCCACTCTTTGAAATTCTCTATTTGAACAGAGTTCTTTAACAATGATTGTCAAGAACCCAGATCGTTACATATATTCGATTGGGCTTTTGTATTAAATATATGTCTTTTTTGTTTTTCCGACAGATAATTGTTTTAGAAGAACTCTTGTTTTATCGTCTCTACAACACACCCTAAAATTGTCAGACGATTGTTCTTAAAAGGAACCGATTGCAAAGATGTATGATAATGAAGATACTACGTCTCCGTTTATCATCTCTTAATCGGAAAATCTGAATTCTACAAA